AAGACAAGAACATACATGGTGTCAAGACAAGAACATACATGGTGTCAAGACAAGAACATACATGGTGTCAAGACAAGAACATCAATTGTGTCAAGACAAGAACATCAATTGTGTCAAGACAAGAACATCAATTGTGTCAAGACAAGAACATCACTTGTGTCAAGACAAGAACATACATGGTGTCAAGACAAGAACATCAATTGTGTCAAGACAAGAACATCAATTGTGTCAAGACAAGAACATCAATTGTGTCAAGACAAGAACATCACTTGTGTCAAGACAAGAACATACATGGTGTCAAGACAAGAACATCAATTGTGTCAAGACAAGAACATCAATTGTGTCAAGACAAGAACATCAATTGTGTCAAGACAAGAACACACATGGTGTCAAGACAAGAACATACATGGTGTCAAGACAAGAACATCAATTGTGTCAAGACAAGAACATACATGGTGTCAAGACAAGAACATACATGGTGTCAAGACAAGAACATACATGGTGTCAAGACAAGAACATCAATTGTGTCAAGACAAGAACATCAATTGTGTCAAGACAAGAACATCAATTGTGTCAAGACAAGAACATCACTTGTGTCAAGACAAGAACATACATGGTGTCAAGACAAGAACATCAATTGTGTCAAGACAAGAACATCAATTGTGTCAAGACAAGAACATCAATAGTGTCAAGACAAGAACATCAATTGTGTCAAGACAAGAACATACATGGTGTCAAGACAAGAACATCAATTGTGTCAAGACAAGAACATCAATTGTGTCAAAACAAGAACATCAATTGTGTCAAGACAAGAACATCAATTGTGTCAAGACAAGAACATCAATTGTGTCAAGACAAGAACATACATGGTGTCAAGACAAGAACATCAATTGTGACAAGACAAGAACATACATGGTGTCAAGACAAGAACATCAATTGTGACAAGACAAGAACATCAATTGTGTCAAGACAAGAACATACATGGTGTCAAGACAAGAACATCAATTGTATCAAGACAAGAACATCAATTGTGTCAAAACAAGAACATCAATTGTTTCAAGACAAGAACATCAATTGTGTCAAGACAAGAACATACATGGTGTCAAGACAATAACACACACGGTAACAGACCATGTGACCATTTTTGTACTCAGGAATTTTCTCCCACATCAATACTAAAACAACTGCAGTAAGATCAACCTTTTGATCTCAGTACTTGGACGTTTTGTTATTGTTTATTTTTTGACGTTTTGTTAGTGTTTCTTTTGTGGCGTTTTGTTATTGTTTATTTAAAGCTTGTCACTACTATTGTTGTCAATGTATTTTATTACTAGCTTATAAGGTTGTGTATAACTCATTATCTCATTTTAATCTCTTGAATCCTTGGTATTAACTCTTTTAATATATTTTAACACACACACACACACATACACACACACACCCACACACACACACACACATATATATATATATATATATATATATATATATATATATATATATATATATATATATATATATATAGCATTAGTGTTGAACTTGTCTTGGCTTCCTCCCCCCTCACCCCCCCCCCCACAGGTAGGTGAATCAAATGACACCTGTACCACAGGAGAGAATGACAGGTGCCGTGACGTCAGTGAGCTCTGTTTGATGAGATGGTTTACCTCATGACCTGGTATTTTAATTCCTAATCCAACAGGGCTCTAGATCCAGGCCATGACGACCTGTCTGGGGAAAGTTGATGCAGCCGTTTGATGAAATATTGTTATAGGCGAGTTTCTGTGTGTAGGTGTGGTGTTATAGGCGAGTTTCTGTGTGTAGGTGTGGTGTTATAGGCGAGTTTTTGTGTTTATGGTGACATGGTGTGACGCAGCGTCACGTGACGTGACGTGACTACCGGAGTCTCAGAGATTCACGCGGGTCATGGCTGGCCAGAAGTGATGAGATGTGTGTACAGGTGTATATAGGTGTGTGCATGTCTGTACCGGTGTGTATATGTATGTAAGGTGTGTACAGGTATGTGCAAGTGTGTACAGGTGTGTATATGTGTGTACGGTGTGTACAGGTACGTACAGGTATATATCAGTGTATATCGGTGTATATAGGGTTGTACAGGTGTATATAGGTGTGTACAGGTGTGTACAGGTGCTTCATTGTACACAAGGGCAGTCTATTGTGGGCGTCACGATCCGTGGGACGGTTATGAGAAGAATGACGTTTGTGGCGTTTGTGACCTGTGTGACGTTTTGTGATGAAATTTTATTACGCTATCTGATGTAGTTTTGTGACGCTTTGTCACAGAGTTGAATGTGCCAAACCATTTCTTCATTCATAACTTTCTATCAATTTTACAAATAATCTGAATTAAATTAATCCGCCGTGTCAATAGCAGGGACTATTTTTTATCTATCAAATGTATTAAATGGTTCTCCGCTAGACGGCGCTATCGGTTTTGTTCATAGGCAAAAAATTTGTATTATCTTTGTAAAAAAATAGCCTACAATATGTCGGAAATGTCAAGATCATCAGACATTTTGATCTGCGGCGCAGAGTTATTTTTATACAAGTGGAGAGCCATTTTGTCAAAAGATCATATATTACCTCCCCTTCATTGTAAATGCTCTTACTAGCTAGGGGAGATAATGAATTAGTTAACTGAAGTTAACTCTCTTGTGTTGCAAAACGAAAAAAAATTATTTGGTAGGATAAAAGCTCTCAGAAAATTGATTAAACGAATCATATGAAGCATATGTAAAAGCACAAGTGTTATTTGGATATTTTGTGAGGGTGGTGACTATTTAGACTTTAAGACTTTATTATAGTGATGAAATGATGAAATGCAACATTTCAGGGGACTGCCGCTTACTACCCCCACCCCCACTTGACTGTGCTGGCTACAGTTGAAGCATAGCCACACAGAAACTAGACAGTGAATTTAGCCAACTGTGTATACTTTCACTAGTAATCAGGATTCGTCAGACAGTCCCATATTGTGGTACTCTTGAACTCAAAACTATTATATTTAAATCATGGGGTTTATCGCACCAAACACGTTTTGCTAAATAAAATAAAAATATCCTTGATAAGTTAAAGAAAAGTTACACTGCCAATTTAAAAAATCCATTTCACCGGAAACTGACTTTTTGTATGATGGGTATTCAGAGTTACTCATGCGACTTCAGGTGCTTATTTTCCCGATTTATTCTATCCCCAATTTCCCCTGATTATTTCCCGAGAATGTTAGACCACCTTTAAAATGGCGTCAGTATGGCCAATTACCACCCCCCCCCCCCCCCATCTGTGTCCATTTGTTAAAGGAAAATAACCAAATTTGGATTATTCTTTCGCCAAAAATATTGAGTTGCTTCCCTTGGTGAAAACAAAAACAACTAACCCTGATGCAGCTAGAAGTCCGAGCCAGGTTCATATTTTATTCATTGGCCAATTTTAATTAAGTTACTGAAATTTTCTTTTTAAATTAAAAAAAAAAGTAAAACAGCATTCAGTTGTGGCATCACACTTTCTTAACCTCCCCTTTACACTTATCCTCACAAAGTCCAGATACCCCTCCCCCCCCCCCACACACACACACACACAAACAAACAAAATACAAACACATTAAAAAATTAGCTGGGTCTTTTAATGTTGAAAGTTTATGATATAAAAGAATCAAATAAAAACAAAATCATAAATCCTGTTGTTACCACATTTTCTACTTTACAACTCATAGAAATTATTTTATTTTTGTTATATTGAAAATCACATTACATTTTATACTTTCATGCTTTAAACAATTGAATACATATGGCAAAGCATGGTAACATTACATGACATGTTTTAGTTTTGTTTTACAGAACACTTTTCAAAGTTCAGCATTGGTTTGTAAGGTGCAGTATAAATAGCCAAAGATAATTATCACAAATGTAATTGTTCAACATATTCATGATACATATAATGCATAAATTGTAATACATTGGATTATATGATACACAGAAAGAATTCATGTGTAATAGGCCCTACAGGTTAATTAACTATTTGTTGATGATTTGATTAGTTATTAGATGATACACATAATTTTAAATATTTATAAAAAAAAACATGCATACAAATCACTACACCAAGTTGTTATTTTATAAGAACCCTTTGAAAAACAAAGAGTTGTATCTATATATATAATTCTCCTCTTCGAGCCGTTAGAAAACAAGCTGCAAACGCTCTCCCTACCTCCCCACCCCTACATGGTTTTAGTGAGCTGTGTTCACTCTAAATGTTTACAAGCAGAGCCAACGATTTTAAACGTAGGGGGGGGGGGGGAGGGGGGGGGGAAGGAAGGGGGGGGGTTATGGTCCTTAACGAGCTACTTATAGTGTTTTAAAGAAATATTTTCAGTGTCAGCGTTGGTACTGTCGAATTCACAAATTATGAATTATTGAAAATTAGAAACAACTAAATAGCGGCGTATGTTATGCCGCAGGCCGGCTCGTTTTTTATAAAAGACTACCTAATCTCTTAATAAATTCTATATAGACCTTGGCACAAAAGTATTATGACTAGAATTGTGAAAAATTGGTTTCAGCTTGTTTTTGATATATTAAAAAATTAGTCACAAAGCAAAAAATGCAATTGTTTAAAAAAACACCTGAAATTATAATTAAATGGAACAAGCTTACACTTCCCATAAAATTGTAAAAAAAGTTATTAAAATAATTGTGTTAAAGATATTTTGTATTCATAACAAATAGGTCTATAATAAGTCTACATAATTTCCTGTGCAAGAAATGCTTTTTAACATTTTTATCAATATGGTTAAAACTTATGATTATTATTATTATTAATCGGAAGGAATAGGGGGCAATTTTCGTTGTTTGATGTTATGTTTTGATAGCCTCCCTTGGACGAGACAAGAGTTATCCTCCTTTGTCACCTCAATCTTTGTTTCACTATCATTTGTTGTTGTCTTCCCTCTCTGATCTGGTGGCATGTGGACAGATTTAGTTTTTTTCTTGGTGTGTTTGGGCAGTGTGAAGTCTTCAACCGTTGCTTTAGGTTTCTCTTTCATAGCGTTGGGTCTGGTGATTTCTTTATGTGTGTGGGGCGGGCACGAGGTGAAGTCTTCCACCAGGGCGTGGTCTACAGGCTGGGGAGTGGAGGGAAACCATGTCACAGGTTGGTGGATGGATGAACTGGTGGATGGTGATATGGGAGTGGAGTTGGTGGATGGGACGGTTGGTGGAAGTGCTGTGGGAATGGAGTAGGTGGATGGGGGTGGACACAGAAGTGATGTGGGGGTGGAGTTGTTGGGTGGGACGGTTGGTGGAAGTGCTGTGGGAATGGAGTAGGTGGATGGGGGTGGACACAGAAGTGATGTGGGGGTGGAGTTGTTGGGTGGGACGGTTGGTGGAAGTGGTGTGGGAATGGAGTTGATGGAAGTGCTGTGGGAATGGAGTTGGTGGATGGGAGATGTTGGGTTGGAGCTGAACTGAAGATGATCCAAAGAATGTGAAGATGTCAAGGATTTAAGGGAGAATAGAGGGGAGGCTTGTCTTACAATTGGTGCTGGAGGGAGCGATGATGGTCTTTGGTGAAGAGATTTGATTGGGGTGGGTGACTCCTTAGGTAAATGTTCAACAGATAGATACATATTTGTATAATCATTTTCATTACTGATAGGATCATATGGATTCTTTAGCGTATTGAAGGGTATTTCTGATGGAGGAGAGGATTGGGTAGTGGTGGTGAAGACATTCTGGGAAAACTCAGCACTAACAGGGTAAGTTCTGGCACGGTGCTGAGAAGTGATGTCAGTTCTATGGGGCTTCAGTGTGTTGGACTCTGGTGCAGATTGTGGTGCCTCTGTCCCTCTGGTTCCTGGAGCTATAGGATTGTTTAGCCCAGTCTTGTCTGTGTGCTGCGTGTTGTGGTGTTCGGTGTTTGTGTTCAACACATCCTCTAATGGGATGTAATCAGTTGGTTTCCCTGTTCTGTCTGCAGTCAGGTTTGTGTAGGGGGTAAAGCTTGGGTCATTTCTTGAACCAGTTTTACCATCTTTTCTGTTCTTGACATCAACACTGTGTATTGAAACTGTGTATGTGTCATTGTGAGAGGCATTAGAGTCTTGTAATTGGGGCTTGGTAGTATTAGAGGGCTGGTTAATGTACTCTGTACTGTGTAAGCTTGTTCTATTTTTAGATGTTGATAAAAATTGAGGCTGATGTCTAGCCTTAGATACCTGCTCCTTAATGGAATTAGCTGTCAAATTAACATACCTATCATCTCTCTCAAAACTGCTTGGTGCTGATTGGTCTGAAGTTTTACTGGATTTGTTTCCCTTGTGTCTGTACCCTCTGCTACCAGAAATGTCCGTATTATCTCCCATGGTAACGTACGGGGTAGCCCCAGCACTTGTCATTTCTAGTTCAGAGTTCCTTCCCTTGTGTGAATCTGGAAAATCCCCTTTGTTGCCATGAGCTACATGCGTTCTGTTTTGTTTATCTATGATGTAATTCTCCGGGTTAAAGCTCGTGTTAACAACCCCCAGTTTAGATGCTGCGTTATTTCTCTTAGTCTCTACCTCGTGTGTCAGTGATGGCCTAACGTCAGTGGCGTTTGTCAGTGTCACAGGCACCAGGTAGTCATCTGACAGCAGGGGCGTGACAGTGTCGTCCTGGATTGACATGTTTTTGGAGACAGACGAGCGCATGGAGGTGAAGGACCCCGAGGATGTTGAGGACAACTTCCTGGAGATGGATCTTGAGACGATGCTATGTCTAGCACTGCTAGGGACTGCAGCATCTGGTGCTCTCACAGCATAAGAGCTCTCTGGGATGTTGTACTCATCACCAAGCTCAGCGTAGGTGCTCTCTGAGTTAGGGAAACAAAAAAAGTTTTGTTAAGCTTGTACTCAACTCAGTAGTAAGCAATGTTCCCTCTAAGGAAAAAAGTTAGTGTGCAACGTGTATTTTGTGTGCGCTGTGTTCTAAAAGTCTAATACAATGATATAAGTATTTTTCAAAATCACTGCACAGCAGCTCAAAACTACTGCGTGGCCGTGCAACTGCACAGCTTAGAGGGAACGCTGGTAGTGTGTGATAAACAAGCTATTTTTAGCTATGCTTATGTCAAGTAATGAGGTTTTTCTTCCTACCTTCTGTCTGATTTTCCCCCAGGTGAAATCCTGGCTTGGTCACATGACCCACAGTAGCGTCCATCCTGTAACTTAATACCTCCAGGTCAGTGCTGTAGAGAGATCAAGTTAATGAGTTGACTAGCCATGTTTTCTCTATACATGGATCAAGTTGCTGGTTACAACACTCAATGATTGTATAAGTCAGACATCTTACTGACTGCCTGCTTCAATCACAGTTGGAAATTTTAAAGTGGGGGGCAGAGATTTTGGCTTTTATTGGAAGAACTCCACATTACCCGCTAAAGATCTGGTGTCTGTGCTTGAGTTATGTCATTTTTAAAGTTTCTTGTTGCCACTTACTTTGTGCTCTTCTTCTTGCGGCAGAGTATAACAGCTATAACTGTGACAGCTAGAATGGCTGCAGCTGAAAGGCCCACCACAGTCAGAAACCCATCTGACAGCCACCAGGTGTAGCTAGAAATACCTGGTGTTCAGACAAAATAATCTTCAATCTTTTTTTATCAAGGACTTGTAGTAATTGTTTATTATTATTTTGAAATATTATAATGAAGATAAATTTCTATAAAAACATTTTAATAAGTTTTAAATTGTTATATTAAATCAGGATAAATGTGGAACAAATATATTACTGAATAATAACTGTACAAAAGTAAATTACCAAATAATAAAAAATATATAAAATTATATACTTTAACCAAATAATTAAGTTTTACAGAATAAAATCATGTATTATCAAATAATAAATGTATAAAAGTATGTATTCCAAATGATAAAATATAAATTTATATATTACTGTTATAAATGTATTACCAAACGATTAATGGATGAAAGTTTGTATTATCAAATGATATACTTTGAATAAAATAATTTATTACCAAATCATAAACTTAGAACAAAATACTTTTTTAACTAATGATAAACTTAGAATAACTTAGAATAAAATAATTTATTACCTAATGATAAACTTAGAATAAAATAATTTATTACCAAATGATAAACTTAGAACAAAATAATTTATTACCTAATGATAAACTTAGAACAAAATAATTTATTACCAAATGATAAACTTAGAACAAAATAATTTATTACCTAATGATAAACTTAGAACAAAATAATTTATTACCTAATGATAAACTTAGAATAAAATAATTTATTACCTAATGATAAACTTAGAACAAAATAATTTATTACCAAATGATAAACTTAGAACAAAATAATTTATTACCTAACAATAAACTTAGAATAAAATAATTTATTACCTAATGATAAACAGAATAAAATAATTTATTACCTAATGATAAACTTAGAATAAAATAATTTATTACCTAATGATAAACTTAAAACAAAATAATTTATTATCAAATGATAAACTTAGAATAAAATAATTGATTACCAAATGACAAACTTAGAACAAAATAATTTATTACCCAATGACTGAGTCGAATTGTCTGGGACCCAGGGGGTGCAGCCTCCTGTTAAACACTCACAGCTGTAGGTCATGTTGACATATGAAACACACTGTGTTGTGTTGGGGCAGGGGGCGGAGTCACAAGGGTCAAGCAGCCCACAGTTTTCATCCAGCTTGACCCCTGGCCTGTCAGGACACAGACAGGCATACCCACGGGGGCTACCCCCCACAGGGACGCAGGTTCCTCCATACAGGCAAGGCTGCAGGTGGCAGGATGGTTCCATCCTGACGTCACACAACCTCCCCATCCAGCCGTCAGTACAGCGACAAAAGTGTGTGCTGTTTGCTCCACGTGGATGGCTGGCCACACAACTTCCTCCGTTAGCGCACACGTTCTCGTCACACCAGCCCAGCCCCACCTCACACAGCCGCCCTGAGTACCCAGCAGGACAGAAGCAGGAGAACATCATGTCCCCCTCACTCTCCCCCTCCACACACAGGCCCTGGTTCTGGCAGGGGTTGGGCAGGCAGGCTGAAGCAGGACGCTCACACAGGGGTCCCATGCCTGGTGTCTGGCACTGGCAGGTGAAGTAGTTTTCTCCTGGAATACACACCCCATTGTTTTGGCAGGGTGAAGACAGGCATTGGTTGATCAGTATATCACAGTAAAAACCTGCAACAGTGACAATAATATTGGCATGTAGTAACATATCTGATACTGACACAGGTGATGAATTCTGAGATGACACATGATAACATATCTGATGACTCATGTATGGACACATCTATCAAAACATCAAATTAAAATTCAGATAGGAACTGTACAGTTGGTTGTTAATGGCCACAGGATGTTTCAGAGATATTGTATCTGGTAGAAAAATTGATACATCCATACAAACAGACTATGTGCACAAAACAAAACAGCTTTTTAAATACAGTGGAATCACAGGGTTGACTACCAATATATGAACCCTGTTGACCCCCCAACATATGAACCCAAGAACACTAATCCTAATCTGTTGACTACCAATATATGAACCCTGTTGACCCCCCAACATATGAACCCAAGAACACTAATCCTAATCTGTTGACTACCAATATATGAACCCTGTTGACCCCCCAACATATGAACCCAAGAACACTAATCCTAATCTGTTGACTACCAATATATGAACCCTGTTGACCCCCCAACATATGAACCCAAGAACACTAATCCTAATCTGTTGACTACCAATATATGAACCCTGTTGACCCCCCAACATATGAACCCAAGAACACTAATCCTAATCTGTTGACTACCAATATATGAACCCTGTTGACCCCCAACATATGAACCCAAGAACACTAATCCTAATCTGTTGACTACCAATATATGAACCCTGTTGACCCCCCAACATATGAACCCACGAACACTAATCCTAACCTGTTGCCCCCCAACATATGAACCCACGAACACTAATCCTAATCTGTTGTCCATATGAACCCAAGAACACTAAACCTAACCTCTGCCCCCAACCTTACCTGTATATCCAGCATGACAAAGACAATAGTTGTCAAAAGTCTCCAGCCCGTCCACACACATGCCATTGACACAGGGGTCATCCTCACACTCATCCGCCCTCTCAGTGCACGAGTCCCCAGTGAAGCCGTGAGCGCACCTGTCACAGGTGTAGTTACCCACCAGGTCAGTGCACTCTCTGTTGGCGGCACACGGAAACTCAGAGGGGAACCAGCATTCATTGACATCTGCGGAAATAGTGACATCTGTTAGTGACATCTGCAGAAATAGTGACATCTTTTAGTGACATCTGCAGAAATAGTGACATCTTTTAGTGACATCTGCAGAAAAAGTGACATCTTTTAGTGACATCTGCAGAAAAAGTGACATCTTTTAGTGACATCTGCAGAAATAGTGACATCTTTTAGTGACATCTGCAGAAATAGTGACATCTTTTATTGAGACCTAGCAAAAGTGACATGTTTTGTATTGACATCTGAAGAAACAATGGACTCTTAATTCTTGAAAGCTGGGAAAACAGTAGATTTCATTGAGTGAGGATACAGTGGATTTATTTTTAGACACCTGCTGTAATAGTGAGAAATATTGTTGTTGACAACTGCATAAATTTGACTGGCTCATAAAATTCAATTTACACAAGACTTGGGTAAAAGTTCTTCTCTGTGTAGAGTATGTATGCAAACCTAACACTTGAAAAGTTCTTCTCTATGTAGAGTATGTATGCAAACCTAACACTTGAAAAGTTCTTATCTATGTAGAGTATGTATGCAAACCTAACACTTGAAAAGTTCTTCTCTGTGTAGAGTATGTATGCAAACCTAACACTTGAAAAGTTCTTCTCTATGTAGAGTATGTATGCAAACCTAACACTTGAAACGTTCTTATCTATGTAGAGTATGTATGCAAACCTAACACTTGAAAAGTTCTTCTCTATGTAGAGTATGTATGCAAACCTAACACTTGAAAAGTTCTTCTCTGTGTAGAGTATGTATGCAAACCTAACACTTGAAAAGTTCTTATCCTATGTAGAGTATGTATGCAAACCTAACACTTGAAAAGTTCTTCTCTGTGTAGAGTATGTATGCAAACCTAACACTTGAAAAGTTCTTATCCTATGTAGAGTATGTATGCAAACCTAACACTTGAAAAGTTTTTCTCTATGTAGAGGATGTATGCAAACCTAACACTTGAAAAGTTTTTCTCTATGTAGAGTATGTATGCAAACCTAACACTTGAAAAGTTCTTATCTATGTAGAGTATGTATGCAAACCTAACACTTGAAAAGTTCTTCTCTATGTAGAGTATGTATTCAAACCTAACACTTGAAAAGTTCTTCTCTATGTAGAGTATGTATGCAAACCTAACACTTGAAAAGTTCTTCTCTATGTAGAGTATGTATTCAAACCTAACACTTGAAAAGTTCTTATCTATGTAGAGTATGTATGCAAACCTAACACTTGAAAAGTTCTTCTCTATGTAGAGTATGTATTCAAACCTAACACTTGAAAAGTTCTTCTCTATGTAGAGTATGTATGCAAACCTAACACTTGAAAAGTTTTTCTCTATGTAGAGTATGTATGCAAACCTAACACTTGAAAAGTTCTTATCTATGTAGAGTATGTATGCAAACCTAACACTTGAAAAGTTCTTCTCTATGTAGAGTATGTATTCAAACCTAACACTTGAAAAGTTCTTCTCTATGTAGAGTATGTATGCAAACCTAACACTTGAAAAGTTCTTCTCTATGTAGAGTATGTATTCAAACCTAACACTTGAAAAGTTCTTATCTATGTAGAGTATGTATGCAAACCTAACACTTGAAAAGTTCTTCTCTATGTAGAGTATGTATTCAAACCTAACACTTGAAAAGTTCTTCTCTATGTAGAGTATGTATGCAAACCTAACACTTGAAAAGTTCTTCTCTATGTAGAGTATGTATTCAAACCTAACACTTGAAAAGTTCTTCTCTATGTAGAGTATGTATGCAAACCTAACACTTGAAAAGTTCTTCTCTATGTAGAGTATGTATGCAAACCTAACACTTGAAAAGTTCTTCTCTATGTAGAGTATGTATGCAAACCTAACACTTGAAAAGTTCTTCTCTATGTAGAGTATGTATTCAAACCTAACACTTGAAAAGTTCTTCTCTATGTAGAGTATGTATGCAAACCTAACACTTGAAAAGTTCTTCTCTATGTAGAGTATGTATTCAAACCTAACACTTGAAAAGTTCTTCTCTATGTAGAGTATGTATGCAAACCTAACACTTGAAAAGTTCTTCTCTATGTAGAGTATGTATTCAAACCTAACACTTGAAAAGTTCTTCTCTATGTAGAGTATGTATGCAAACCTAACACTTGAAAAGTTCTAATCTATGTAGAGTATGTATTCAAACCTAACACTTGAAAAGGAAATGTGAAATAACATTTTCCTGTTTTTGTGACATTGCATGGGCATCAATAGTTTGGTCAGTCAGTTTCATACTTCACAACTAAAGTCAGGTACCCATTACAACTGAGTGGACTCAGGCTCATTCTATGGGTGCAAGCACAGGTGCCTAACTCCATAAAGTTGGGTTAAGATTGGTGCTAAAAACTCCACATAACTTATTTAAACTCCATGCATGAAGAGTATGTTAAGTAGACAAGTTGATTTATATGTGTTTGTTATGTAAGAATGGAAATAAAAATGATTTTGTTTAAATTGAATTTGTGTTGTAAAACAAGTATTAAAATACACGAGATTCGTTTTGTAGAAGGATCAAGTTTAAAATGTATGGGGTTTGTTTATATTGGATAGTCTTTGTTTGACATAAAGATTTCACTTATTTATGATTGTATTACAGAAATTTTTCAACTCTTCCATTCTGAAAATGTTAATTCTCTGTCAAAGTTGGGAAGAAAATAGTTTACCCAAGCACTTGCTGTATTCCTCCATAATGACAGCACCTTTGACAAAGTGTGGAACATCCATCCAACATATGATGTCACCACACGCAGGCTCACAGGCGCTCTGATTGGCTAGAATCTTCAGCTGTGGAGGTGTGAAGATTCTGCTGAAAATGTTGAACACACTGATCTCCCCTGAGTAAACATTCCATAGAGAAGAAACTTCAGCATGAAATGGATTCTCTTGTCCTGGGACAAATAAAAACATTTTGTAATGTTAAAAAAAACCACTCTAAAAAAAATTCCACCTAAAACCTAATAGTACCAAATGTTTAATAAAGTAATAATACATTGATTTGTAAGTTGAAAAATATGCCTAATACCAACAGAAAAAAAAACATGAAATGACTTCTAGAAAAAAACAAAAAATATCTAATTTTTAACAGTGTTGTTACAATCATAACTTAAACATTAGCTCTACACTTTCTAGCTTGCCATGAAAGATGGCCTACACCATGAAAGCAGAGTTTCTTCCAGGCATCTCGTCGGGGGGGGGGGGGGGGGGAGGAGGCTTTGTCCCGCCCCCGAAAAAATTCTACCGCCCCCCCCCCCCCAAACGAAATGAAATTTATATAATTTATATAGAAAATATATGCTTTTAACAGTGTCCGCCCCTTGAAGAAAGTCTACCGCCCCCCCCCCCCACCCCCCGAAAATTTCAAGTGCCCCCCCCCCCCCCCCGGAGAAAAAAGTAGGGAAGAAACACTGCATGAAAGATGGCCTACGCCATGAAAGATAGCCTAAGCTATGAAAGATGGCCTACCAATGACAACTTTAACATTAGTGGATATGTTAAGCCCTGATGTTTCTACGTTGCCATGGGAGACGACGGATCCGTTGACGGCAACCTGCCAGTGGCCACCCTGGGCCTGCCACAGGAAACACAAATGTGTCCACACATAGGGGGGTAGGGTGGCATCTGTTTCCATGGTAACGTCAAAGATGCTGACCTAACAACAAACAGAATCAAATATTGACATGGCAGAGGCTGACCTAGGTAATCCACAGAAACATGGTTATTCTTTGAATAGTTTCTTTCACTTCTCTCTTAACATTCATTCCACCATCATCACAACAAACTTTTTCACTTTAAATGTGTTCACAAGATATATACACTTTTATCTAAGCAATAGTATTTCTCCTGAACAACCATTGCTCACATTATTGAATACAAAAAGTTACATCTTGAGCTTACTATGAGTTTGTCTGTATGTCTGAGAGAAAATGTAACCAAATATGGGGAATCCTCCGTGCCATTCTTTAAGCTGGAGGTGAAGGCCACAAGGGTGGAGTACGTAGCCAGGGTGTCAGGACGGAACCACCCACAGAGGGTGAAGTTGGGCACACCCCTCATGTAGATCTCAGGGAAGACTGCATACAACCCTGCAGGGGACTGGCCATTAAATTTCAGGTCAAAACTGGCTGTTGAATCTGAACAGGGAGAAGGTAAAAAAATATAAAACGACTATATCTGAATGCATTCATTTCTTTTAATCAAATCATCAGGTGACCTTAGTTTTGTTTACTGGATAAAAATATCTTTAAATTTTTATAATAATTTATCACCCACTAAATTTTTGTTGAATTTTTTTTTTGGTCTATTTTAAAAGAATGGTTTTGGCACCCACTGAAATCTATTTTATCCCTTTGTTTTTAGCACCCACTAAAATTTATTTTATCCCAAAGCTTTTAGCACCCACTAAAATCTATTTTATCCCAAAGGTTTTAGCACCCACTAAAATCTATTTTATCCCAAAGGTTTTAGCACCCACTAAAATCTATTTTATCCCAAAAGTTTTAGCACCCACTAAAATCTATTTATCCCAAAAGTTTTAGCACCCACTAAAATCTATTTATCCCAAAAGTTTTAGCACCCACTAAAATCTATTTATCCCAAAAGTTTTAGCACCCACTAAATCTATTTTATCCCAAAAGTTTTAGCACCCACTAAAATATATTTTATCCCAAAAGTTTTAGCACCCACTGTATTGACAGAGTGGTCCATTGAGCCCATCAGGACAAACACACTTAAACATGTCCTCCATCTGCAGACAGGTGGCGCCCCCAGCACATGGTGAGCTGGAGCAGGGATCTATTGGAATCTCACAGAATGTTCCTGAAATAGCACATTCTTTTATCATATGACGGGAGACAACTTTGATGGATTTCTACTTTTTATAAATTAATATTCTTAACTATTTTAAAATGGATTAAATGATGAAAATAGGAAAAATTTAAGCCCTAATTGTAAAGAGTGTTTACTCAAATAAAAAAATGATATTTTAATGGGAAAAGTTTAAAGTAATGAAATAATTTTCAAACTGGATTAATTGAGATTTTTTGTAAAAAAAAAAGTTTTAAACATTAAAGAAAACAAAATCTAAAGTGCAAACCTACAAACTAGTGCAGCTTTTAGGAAAAAAAAATCTAAAGTGGAAAAACTACAAAATCAGCATCTTTAAGGAAAATGAAATCTAAAGTGAAAAACTACAAAATAGTGCAGCTTTAAGGAAAACAAAATATGATGTGCAAAACTACAAAATAGTGCAGCTATAAGGAAAACAAAATCTGATGTGCAAAACTACAAAATAGTGCAGCTTTAAGGAAAACAACATGTAAGAGCAGAGCCATCAAACATTTACTGAAAAGTCAAATAGCTTATTACTAGGGTTTGAAATAATTGTGACTATTTATGAAACATTCAGTGCAAGGTTGATTCAGTGATCTTTGGGTGGTTAAAGGCTAAAGGAAGGAACAGAGGATGAAACAAGGGTAAGACAAATTACCTGAGTAGCCAGGTATGCATAGGCACAAGAAAGTTCCAGGTGTAGAGGTGCAGGTGTAAGCATTGACACACGGGTAGGAGGAGCAGAGATCCCAGGTGGAGTTGCAAGTAGGACCTAAAATAGTCAGGTCAATGAAATGTTAGGACAACTTTTATAAACTAGGTCAGTGAAATGTTAGGACAACTTTTATAAACTAGGTCCGTGAAATGTTAGGACAAATTTTATAAACTAGGTCAGTGAAATGTTAGGACAACTTTTATAAACTAGGTCATTGAAATGTTAGGGCAACTTTTATAAACTAGGTCATTGAAATGTTAGGACAACTTTTATAAACTAGGTCATTGAAATGTTAGGACAACTTTTATAAACTAGGTCATTGAAATGTTAGGACAACTTTTATAAACTAGGTCATTGAAATGTTAGGACAACTTTTATAAACTAGGTCAGTGAAATGTTAGGACAACTTTTATAAACTAGAAACCAACACCTGACAGAAGGGATAGGCAACTTATGTGAACTAGAAATTATAGCCTGATTGAAAGGCTAGGGTAAGCTATGTGTACTAGAAATTGTCACCTGATTGAAGAGATAGGACAATTAGCATAACCTAGCCTGTAGATGATTGAAAAAAGCCTAATTGTTCTTCAAGAAAAAGTTAATAAACATCTGAACATAGGCTGCCACTGAGTTTTCACAAGATATTTTAAACCAATCACCAACAAATAATGGAACTCTAACAAGAAGAGTAGTTCTATTCAAAGACTGTGTGTCGAATTTGAGAAATCTGAACATAGGCTGCCACTGAGTTTTCACAATCACCAACACTAAAGGGAACTCTAGCAACAGCAGTTGTGTTCAAACACTGAGTAGCAAGTTTGAGACCTGCCACCAACACTAAAGGGAAATCTAACAAGAGCAGTTGTATTCAAAGACTGAGTAGCAAACTTGAGACCAGCCATCAACATGCAGCTCTCTCTGATTTCCTGTTGTGAATTACCCAGGTTTTTAGGTGATGGCTTACATTCTTCATGTCATCAAGAAGCATATTGTAACTAGATGATTAACTTTCTACGAACCAACGTTTTGTTTTTATTGAGATAAAATTATGTCCAGAATATGTTCACCCAAAAGTAAATTCATTTTAACCTGCTAGAAAATATGCCCCAACCCCCACTCTCATTGAATTAATAAATGTATTTAAGAGCTTTTCACAACAATAAAAAAGACCAAAATGAAAACTTTTGTAATTGAAATTCATGATGTGTTTTTCACACAACCATCATTTTATTAGGTGAGTTTTGTAAGAATAACATAATTAACTTAGTCTTTTTGTCATGAATAGCTGTCTGCTCTGGAACTTTAAGCTGGACTGGCTTCCATGCCCACTAGTTAATTAGTTAATTTTAATTAGCAATCAACTGACCTGCAAATCCTTTTTGGCAAACACAAGAAGTCTCTGTGTTGTCAAGGTTAGTGTGACACTCTCCGTTGACACACGTGTTCTCATGACACAGTGACACGGCGGTCTCACAGTTGGCACCTGTGTAGCCCAGCCTGCAGTAGCACCTGTAGCCGTTACTCTGGTCCAGACAGGAGCCACCATTCACACAGGGCTCTGGCATACACTCGTCCACGTTCATCTCACAGTACTGACCTACAAGGAGGGCACAGAAAAAATGGTATAAAAAGTGCCATGAATAAAATAATAATAAAATAATTGTTGCTTATCTTTTTTCACAATAATATATATTATATTTATAATTGCTACTTTTGTAGAAATTTAAATGGATAACATTGCTTATTTGCATTGTAGTTTATTAATTATAAAGTTATCATCACTTGTTCCCAACAACATGTTATATAAGTATGTATACCTTTCTATATCAAATGTTATATTTTAATGTTAGTTATACAAGTAGGAGTATGGAGTAAAACAGTTTACCATAGCAGTATAAAAGTGTTTGATGTTTAACTACTGCAAGATTTTATTTTTTACCATTTTCAGGAGAAAAAAAGTAATACAATAAAACAAGTTCATATTTGGCTAACTAATACTATCAAATTTAAAAAATCACATCTAAATTTTTAAACATGAATTTGACTATAAAATTTAGAAAATCAAATGTAAATTTTCAAACATGATTTTTGTTTACATTTTTTTTTTATCAGTAAGTGATTTCAATGCATTTTAATCAATACAGTAGTTAAAGCAGCAGAACATTGCAAGCACCCACCTGTGAATCCTGGTTGGCAGGTACAGGTAAACTGGTTGACACCCTCGACACATAAGCCGTCATTCTGGCAAATGTTGGGGATACAGTCTTGTACGTCACTCTCACAGCTGTCCCCCGTATAGCCAGGTGCACACAGACAGGTGGCCCAATTGTTAGACATCACACAGGTGCCATTGTTCTCACACCTGACATCAGTACAGGCATTCTCTGGGACTGGAAGGTTAGGACATAAGTCATGTAGGATAGGACAAAAGTCATGTGGGATAGGACAAAAGTCATGTAGGACAAAAGTCATGTGGGATAGGACACAAGTCATGCAAGATAGGACATAAGTCATCTAGGATAGGACATAAGTCATGTAGGATAGGACATAAGTCATGTAGGATAGGACATAAGTCATGTAGGGTAGGACAAAGTCATGCAGGATAGGACATAAGTCACGCAAGATAAGACAAAAGTCACATGGGATAAGACACAAGTCATGTAGGGTAGGACAAAAGTCATATAGGATAGGACATAAGTCATGCAAGATAGGACACAAGTCATGTAGGGTAGGACATAAGTCATGTAGGATAGGACAAAAGTCATGTGGGATAGGACAAAAGTCATGTAGGATAGGACAAAAGTCATGTAGGATAGGACACAAGTCATGTAGGACAAAAGTCATGTAGGATAGCACAAAAATCACATGGGAAAGGACACAAGTCAAACAGGATAGAATATAAGGATACAATAGAACAAAAGTCACACAGGATAGAACATAAGTCAGGTACAATAAAACAAAAGTCATGCAGGATAGAGCGTATGTCACACAGGATAGAACACAAGTCAGACAGAATATAAAATAAGTCAGGCAGTATAGAACATTAGTCAGGTAAAATAAAACACTAGTCAAGTAGGATAGAACATTAGTCAGGTAAATGAAACACTAGTCAAGTAGGATAGAACATTAGTCAGGTAAAATAAAACACTAGTCAAGTAGGATAAAACAAAAGTCAAGCAAGATAGAACACATGTAATGCAGGATAGAACAACATTCACGCAGGTACGATAAAACAAAAAGTCACAAACTAGCTTTCATGTTATGATGAATCTAGATGTAGGCCTATTCCTTATTATAAAGTTATGATTTTATGGCAATGTGTTTAAAAAATGTAAAATATAATTTATTTGCTCTGGTTATTCATTAAAAAGTAAATATTTGGAATTTTCTGTGTAAAACGTGTGTCACTAATATCCAGTATCAATGTGAAAGATAATCAAAATACTTTTACATCATTTTGTATAAGATAACTTGATACTAAAGTAACAGTGCATGTAGCATATGAATACAATAGGAAATGCTTTAGTAACAGTGCATGTAGCATACGAATACAATAGGAAATGCTTTGGCAACAGTACATGTAGCATACGAATACAATAGGAAATGCTTTAGTAACAGTACATGTAGCATACCAATACAATAGGAAATGCTTTAGCAACAGTGGATGTAGCATACCAATACAATAGGAAATGCTTTAGTAACAGTACATGTAGCATACGAATACAATAGGAAATGCTTTAGCAACAGTGGATGTAGCATACCAATACAATAGGAAATGCTTTAGCAACAGTGGATGTAGCATACCAATACAATAGGAAATGCTTTAGTAACAGTACATGTAGCATACGAAACAATAGGAAATGCTTTAGTAACAGTGCATTGCATACACGATATAAGTAGACATCAAAACCAAATTTTACAAAAGTTTGTACTAATTCCTTCAATTCCAGTTTGTAAGCGTAATCACATTCTATTGAAATTGTTGCTAAGTCCACATTATGACATAGCCCCTTCCCCCCACCTTAGAAAATGTCAAGTGCCCCCCCCCCCCCCCCCCCCCCACCCTCAAAAGGTGCAAAAGTTTGAAATTAATGTAAACTTGAGCAATGAATTATTTCCCATTTTTAAAATCCAAACACCAAAATTTCATACAAGGGAAATAACTTTCACAAGAATAGCTAAATTAACCAAGTGTAACTAACAAGCTTGAAAAACACAATAAAACGCTTTAAATTTCAGTACGTAATAATTATAACAAATCTTTTATATTACCTATGTAATTGTGTCAACAGAATATATTTTACGAATTGACTACTTAACTGTAGGTTTTGTTTGAAAGTCTAAACACGGTAGGTTTATTGCAACATACTTCTAGTCAATTTTGATGACATTCTGTTAAATGCATTACAGCAAGGGTTCTAGTGGCTGTTTTTTTTAATACTTTGAATTTTTTAAAGTACAAAATGTGATGAATACTATATTGAATGACTATGTTTCTGACTATTCTACCACAGACAATCGCTTACAAACAAATGTTTGATGTTAATTGTTTTAGTTGAAAATAAAAGTATTTAAAAAAAATCATTTGGATAAAAAAAAATCAAACACGTGAACTGTTTAAGGCATTGCCATAATTATTAATTAAATGTAAAAATTATAATTTGAAAAAAAATATAGTTTACGGTTAGTTAAAAATTCCAACCTATATAATATTATATATTAATACTTTAAGAGTGGTAATATAAATTCCTAAAAAACTAAAGATTTTTCAGTTAGAGAACGCCCACCTTTCTATGTAGTGTATTCCGTCCTGAATTGAAATCATCTAACTAACGATAAACTCAACTACTCGATATACTCTACTACATTCACAACACATATCAAACATCGATGCCTAAATATAACTAGACTCGATGCTCCAGAACTACGACACACCTCGCTTAACTTCAACAAGTGACTCTCACAATCAACAAAGATTTAACTGGACCTACTACTTCACGATAACAATCAACACACTTTAATACCTTAATACAGCAAGGCTCGATACTCCTGCTCCAGAACTACGACACCTCATCATCTACATTCTCATTTCTCTATTACCAATCAGATTCCACTAGACCTACAACTACACAACAGCCAAATAAAAAAACACGACACTTTAACACTTTGATACTTTATACCTATGAAACCATATTAACAACAGCCTTCCACCGTTACTCCCAAATCTAAACAATTCATCAAAACTTACCAAACAAGTACAATACTTTGAACACCCCGTCATCACAAAACTATATACACCAGAACAGATTTCTAATTCAAAGTCAGAGAAAACGAGACTTACAAGACCTATTAAAAACCAAAATTGCTCATGTTTTGGAACGCCCGGTCATTCACTGGAGCGATCACTAAGTCAACATAAAAATTAGATAACCGTTTGAAATGTTCAAAATGTAAATTACAGACTTGTTTAATTGTTTTCTACATCGATTAAGTGACACCAAAATGAAAAGTCAAAGTGACTGGTTAAAAGGGAGGTTGTATTCTCACCATCGCAAATAAATATAGCCCTGTATAGGCCTATTTTGTGGGTGGGGATGCCGAAATAGATCGCTACTTCTTTGTATATTACCGCCCATAGTTTATAAAAGATAATCAGTTTTTAATTATTAAGTACTTTTTTGTTAATAGCGATTAAACCTTTTTTCGCCCCACCCCCCTAGGGCGGGCGCCCTAGGCGACAGCCTAGTTCGCCTTATTGGTAGTGCCGGCCCTGAGTGTAAGTACATGTAACATACAAATACAATAGGAAATGCTTTAGCAACAGTGCATGTAGCATACGAATACAATAGGAAATGCTTTAGCAACAGTACATGTAGCATACGAATACAATAGGAAATGCTTTAGCAACAGTACATGTAGCATACGAATACAATAGGAAATGCTTTAGCAACAGTACATGTAGCATACGAATACAATAGGAAATGCTTTAGTAACAGTACATGTAGCATACCAATACAATAGGAAATGCTTTAGCAACAGTACATGTAGCATACGAATACAATAGGAAATGCTTTAGCAACAGTGGATGTAGCATACCAATACAATAGGAAATGTTTTAGCAACAGTGCATGTAGCATACCAATACAATAGGAAATGCTTTAGCAACAGTACATATAACATACCAATACAATAGGAAATGCTTTAGCAACAGTGGATGTAGCATACCAATACAATAGGAAATGCTTTAGCAACAGTGCATGTAGCATACCAATACAATAGGAAATGCTTTAGCAACAGTGCATGTAGCATACCAATACAATAGGAAATGCTTTAGTAACAGTACATGTAGCATACCAATACAATAGGAAATGCTTTAGCAACAGTACATGTAGCATACCAATACAATCAGAAATGTTCCTGGCTCCAGTGGTGTTTGTCCAGAGAGCTGGACAAAGTAAACATTCCTTCCCTCCTGCTTCAGGCTGGTACTGGCCCAGCGGACACAGTTTACAAGGTTCAAGGCCAGTCTCACTATAACTGCCGGCTTGGCATTGAACTGAGAATAGAGAAGTGAGAACCTGTAGCATCTCTTTCTTTGTTACTAGCAGTAATATGTGAGAACATGTAGCATCTCTTTCTTTCTGTTAGTAACAGTATTAGGGCCTGTTATATCATTCTATTACTAGCAGTATTAGGGCCTGTCATATCATTCTGTTACTAGTAGCATTAAACCTAGATTGTCGTTACAGTTTATGGTAGAGACCAAGTTACAGAAATAAAACTTGTGCTATAACTCAGAGTGATTTGAACACAGTTCTACAGTGACCTTTAGCACTGGGTTAGATAGGGAACTACTTTGACCAGGACTCACAATATTCCCTATTTTTATTTTCATTCTGTTCATAACATTTCATCCTATCAATTCTGTTGTATGTTTATCTTTCAATTATAATTAAGTTCTTTTAATATAATTATAAGTTATTTATTTTAAAATGCTATTATTGTTTCTAGCACCATGTTAATGTGGACCTAGGTTATGCATGGGTGTTCTCTGCCACTTCCCACCCCCTCCCACCAAGTTCTATTGTTAAAAAACATGTTTTACTTAACAGAATAACCTTATTACACTTGTTACAATTCTTAAAAAATATGACATGATATTATTTCTTTTACTAAAGTTGTATTTTGATATATTGTCCTTATAACCCATTCTACAATTCTTACAACTAAGGTTGACCTACGTGAACAGTCACTATCGCTCTTAGATCCTAGTCCTTTGGTTCTTTTGCCATCTGGACAATTGAGGCAAACAGTGGAGCCTTTAAAAAAATTGAACATGTTTAATGGACACAAATGGCAGGGTTCAAGGCCAGTCTCTGAGTATTCACCAAACGAACATTCACCTGTAGAGAAAATATAACAAGTTATTATCAGAGAAAATATCACTCACACCATCAATTATACACATAATGTAACAAATTTATATAAGAGAAGTGTTATTTCAATTTCTCTTACCTTAAGCAGTCATTTTATATTAGATTTTATTTAACAGTTACAGCTAACATTGCATAAAAGTATTTACACCTAGAGGAGGACTGAGATATGTCACATACGAGTAATACTGCACGGTTCAGTCATATGGAGATATATACAGATACAGGGGTAGACTGTCTGTGTCAGTGAGGCCCCGAAAATTTCAAGGCAGCAGTTGTTTGATTTTGGAGTTGTCTCTCTAAGAAGAGTGGCTGTCCTCAGCTAACGAGCCTCATCTGCCCGAGGGTTTGAACTCGAGACTTTTTCTGTTTAGCAACCATGAGCTTTACCAACTCAAACACGCCGACCCCTTGATTGAAATTTCCCTTGTGCATTTTTTTACTATTAAAATCATAAATTGCATGAATAAAAGGTAAAATACCAACAATTTTTTAAAAATCACAACTTTAATAGTACTTTAATAGTGGGGGTCCAGGTAGACTGGCGGGCCCACCAGGATCTGTCCAGGTAGACAGGTGGGCCAGTCCACCCATGTACAGAAATATCCACACTTTTACTATATAGACATGTCCTTCCATATAACATGTCCTGTCTTGTATACAAACATCATATAACTAGCTAAACTTTCCTCACCTACACTCAAGGATGCATATAACTAGCTAAACTTCCCTCACCTACACACAAGGACACATTGTTAGCCCCACTGGAGTCAGTGAGTGTACCTCCTGGGCAGGGCAGGCAGGTCAGCTGACCCTCATCAGGCTGGTAGTGAGCAACTTCACAGGGCACACACGCATCATTTTCATAGTAGGAGCCAGGCGGGCAGGCCACTGTCATAGAGCCAGAAGGGTAGTGTTAGACATCCATACAAATTTGGTAGTGTTAGACATCCATACAAAATTTGGTAGTGTTAGACATCCATACAAATTTGGTAGTGTTAGACATCCATACAAATTTGGTAGTGTGAGACATCCATACAAATTTGGTAGTGTGAGACATCCATACAAATTTGGTAGTGTTAGACATCCATACAAATTTGGTAGTGTGAGACATCCATACAAATTTGGTAGTGTTAGACATCCATACAAATTTGGTAGTGTTAGACATCCATACAAATTTGGTAGTGTGAGACATTCATACAAATTTGGTAGTGTAGACATCCATACAAATTTGGTAGTTAGACATCCATACAAATTTGGTAGTGTTAGACATCCATACAAATTTGGTAGTTAGACATCCATACAAATTTGGTAGTTAGACATCCATACAAATTTGGTAGTGTTAGACATCCATACAAATTTGGTAGTGTTAGTTAGACATCCATACAAATTTGGTAGTGTGAGACATCCATACAAATTTGGTAGTGTTAGACATCCATACAAATTTGGTAGTGTTAGTTAGACATCCATACAAATTTGGTAGTGTTAGTTAGACATCCATACAAATTTGGTAGTGTTAGTTAGACATCCATACAAATTTGGTAGTGTTAGTTAGACATCCATACAAATTTGGTAGTGTGAGACATCCATACAAATTTGGTAGTGTTAGTCAGACATCCATACAAATTTGATGGTATTTGCCATAAGTCTGAGCAAATTTGATATGTGCCACAAGTCTGAACAAATTTGATAATGTTAGCCAGAAGTAGCCTCATACACAATTGAGAGTGTTTGAATTATTAGATGCTCCAGAATTTTTTGACAGAATTGTTAAACTGACAGTTGCATGGTGAGTTAGATGTTAACAAACAGATCAAACCCCCCCCCCCTTCCCCCATCATACTGACAGCTATTTATAGAGTTAGATTTTCCCCACTGCCATACTAATACCTATCTGGTGAGTTGGATCACCCCCAATGCCATACTGACACTTACATGTTGATGCCTTTAAACTTACCACACACTCTGCTAAAACTGGTTGCGCTGCTAACATAACCAGGCTGACATTCAATCAACTGTGGATCACCACTGAACTCAACTTGGTTAAAATACAAAATGGCTGAAGTGTTGTCCTGTTGTGTGACTGCTGGATCAGTCTCTTCCAGTGTCAGGTTATTAAAATGTCCCTTCAGAGTCTGGGAGATGTTTGTGTAGTGATCCAGCAGGTCTGTCTGGTCCTGTTCTGTTGTGTTACGACCAGGGAGACTGTACACAAGTTCAAATTCTAGTCGGTTCTCAGCACTCAGCTGTAAGAGGTCACACCATATTTCATAAACAAAGCATGCAAAACTTCATTCTAAAACGTAATTTTAAAAAAAAACTAAATTAAATGATGTGTTTAAGGAGTTAATAATTATTTAAATAAACCAAGCAAAACTTCATTGCAAACAGAATTTTTTTAAAATCCTAAATTAAAAACTGTGTGTTTTAAAAAGTAACCAAGGCAGCAAACAATTATTATAAAATAGAAATATTCGTTCAAAATACTGACTTAATGGAAGACTTCAAATGGTTACCTATGAGTTAAAAATAAAGCTATAATTCTATGAATATATTACAGCTAAAATATAACAATTTACAGATGTAAAATGTTTCCTTTCCTTAAATTTTATTTTGAAATACTAAAAACTCAACTTACAGGTGTATCAGTTCCATTCTCTACGACATCAAACTCTGATGTTTGTGTTGGAGATGGATGTGAATCTGACAGCGGTGATGTTGTGAGAGACATGATGTCATCCTGCAGTGTGCCTGCAGGTACCTGCCTGTTTTCCTGCTGACTGTATACATCACTGTTCTCACTGTCACGTTTGATTAAATGGAACCCATCAACAGATGTTGACCTGTCTAGGCCCATTCTCCCCGCCATATCATCAGCTTCACCAGACACTGCCCCACTTGACCCTACAGCCTTGATTTTCTGGTTCTCTTCAATCATTGAACAGTTTTCACACTCAGGATTTGTCTTACCATTTTTCCGCTGGTTCAAAAAGTTTTTCACATTGTCTGTAAGTTTAGCCCCTCCTTTGTTTTGAAACTCGATGTCGTCCATATAAAACAATTCTCTGGTCACACCCAGCACATCAAATTTGCTCCTTTCTTTTTGTTTAGTTGGTGCAATGTCAAAGTTCAAGCTTGACTCAGTGGTCAGGGTTGACCTTTCTCTTCTTCTCATTAGCTTAATGCTTGTGTCAATTCTACTTGCACTGTCCTGCTGTGAAGTAGGGGGTCTAAACTTTTGACCTGAGCTCCTTCGTCTGCGTTTTGATGCCTGCCCACACACTACCCTGACATTCTGCACCTCACAGGAGGCAGCTCCACACACGTTCCAAGACTGGGTTTGTATGTAGCGGGTAAACTTTTCTGCTATTTCATCCTTAACATCTTGGCAGCTTCCTCCGTAATAAAAGAATTGGGCCTGGCCACTCATGACTGCCTTGTTAGGATAATATTTTCCTGAAAATTGTTTAGAATAATATTTACTGAAAATTGTTTAGGATACTTTCCTGAAAATTGTTTAGAATAATATTTTCCTGAAAATTGTTTAGAATAATATTTTCCTGAAAATTGTTTAGAATAATATTTTCCTGAAAATTGTTTTGGATAATATTTGTCTGAAAATTATTTAGGATAATATTTTGCTGAAATTTTTCTTCTGTAAGTAAATAGTGTCAGACATTAAAGGGAAATAAAATGCTTCTAAATTTCTATTTTAAAATAATTAAGGATATGATTAGTAGAAAGTCCAACCCGGACATAGAACATTAACATGGACCAGAGCAGCCTATATCCATTATGTCTGACCAAAAAATTAAAGCCAAATAATTTAAAACCAAACTAACGTGAGCAATCAGGCCAAAACTTGTTTGGGGTTCTCAAATTCCATCTCCCTTGAAGATCACAGTTGTAAACAGTTTGTGGGATGGAGTGGAAGTCGTAGTTTTCATTGCAGTGTGGGATGCAGGTGAGCAGTGAGGCTGTTGTTGAGCAGGATAACGATCCGTGGAGGGGTGGTGGGGGGTGTTTACACAGAGGCACTGCAGATTATTAAAAAAATACATTTTCAACCAGACTAAATACAGCAGCTGGTTAATCAAATCACATGTCAAAATTATGTTATTTACCAAATGATTTTAGGAACTTTTTGTCAAAGAATACAAAGTAAATAAACTTTGTAGATTTTTTATTAAACTTTTAATACACAAATAAACATGTTAAATGCATAATATATTTTTTCTTTAGCAAATACATTAAATAATCAAATGAAGGACATCTACAGAATTATATGAATCAACCTTTAATATATTTATGGCTAATTTATGTTTAAAATAAAACAATGCATTAAAAAATTAATATGTGATATTGCAGCTTTGTGTAAATGTTACTAGAGAAAAGACTTCAATCAGGACTAAGTAGCCAGCATAACGTAATGTTAACTTTGGTTTGGGACTAAAGACTAGCAAAAACATTTCAGTCAGGAATATGTAACCAGCATACTGTAACGTTAACTATAGTTTAGGACTACAGACTACCAAAAAGACTTCAGTCAGGACTATGTAATCAGCATACCGTTGACTCTGGCCTCAAATTGACAGTGGACTGCATGCGCCCCCTGGTGTACAGGTACACACTGAACACTGTGGGTACCGGGGGGGACCAGAGAGTTGTTGGCAGGTGTACACAGGTGGGGGACTGTCACGTTGTTGTTGTTGACAAATGTCACATCTGGCCAGATGACAGGCTGCATGTGCTGTGACATGTTGATGACAACTTGACCACTCGGACATGTCACCAAGTGGACAGTGAAGGCTATAAATGAAGAAATCTCAAGATCACAATTTATTTCTTTACTGTAGGCCTATACAATTTCTACTTTATTTACATAAATTTTAAAATCTCTTTAAAAATGGGATACACTGATCAGTTTAAACATTAAAATTGTAAAAAATTAACAGCATAATTTTTCAAAAATTTAAAATGCGTAATGATGAATAATGTAGGCCTATCCTTTTTTCCCAATCGCTAGTATTAATTAAAAGCATTAAACTACTTCAATCATATTAAAGAAATGTGTATGTCACTGTACTGCCTACATTTAGTGACCCCTTTTAAAATTAAAAAATATAGAAATAAATAAATAGGCATAAATTTAAAAAAGGGGTTATAACCACTATTATACATTCATTTATGTATTACTAGTAGACCTATTAGTTTTCTTTTTTTGTGTGTTAATAATCTGTATCTAATGTAAAACAGCTAGTCTAAATAGTCCAGAGGATTTAGTGCATACTTAGTAACAGTGATGAAACTCAGCATAAATACCTACGACAGTGATTCCTTGCACACAACTAGCAGAGTTGCCTGCCTTGTCCTGGACAACGTACTTAATCTGGTGGTGACCAGCGGTCATCTGGGCGGGGTTGTCACTCAGGCCAACCGCAGTGACACTGGTTGAGCCGGAGTTGTCGGACACAGTGGGGGTGTCGTTGTCCCAGTGGACCAGGGCGTAATTGTGCTCAGTGATGGGGACTGTGATGTCACTTGGGCATTTGATCACTGGGGGCTCTCTATCTGCAGAGTTTAAAATAGGCTTTAACTTGGGGGCTCTCTATCTGCAGAGTTTAAAATAGGCTTTAACCTTTTGGTTTACTGATCTAGCGAAGAGAAGTAGTTATAGTAATTAAAGAATGAGATATTTAACATTGAAACTTTATTCTAAAATATTTGAGTGACAAATATTAAAATGTGATTAAATTAAAACATGTATTTTAGTACAATTTGAAACAATCCAGGAATTGTAGCATATAGAATATAGATTCTAGATCTATGTATTAAAAACACATGAATTTGTTTATAGAATGATAATTTCTAGTTCTAGGCAGTGTTTCTTTCAGACTTCTTTTCTCCAAAAAGGGGGGGGGGTCACTTGATTTATTTATTTTTTGGGGGAAGGGGGAGAAGAACAACCCCCCCCCCCCCCACACACACACACCTCGATGAGATGCCTGGAAGAAACTCTGGTTCTAAGCTATTTATTTAATGAGACTGACTAAAAGCCAGTTAACAATAAATAGTTAATTCATTAAATAATTATGTAAAGGTCAATTAGAAATAAGAAAGGTTGTGTCAGATTTCAAGATCTTAACTAACCTTGACATGAGGGTTGCTGAACTTGACCCCAGTTGCCATGGTCATTGCAGGTCACATTACTGGGTCCTGTCATGACGTAGCCTGCCTCACACTTAAAATAGCACACTGACCCAGGGAGTTGGGGCTCTAGCCCACACCGGGGAGGGGTCAGTACCAGCCCGGGGCTCAGCGATATGGCATTGCAGCGGTTCTCTGTGGTACAGTGGGCAGAAAAATTCAGTCGGTCCGGTAGTTTTAGATTCAACAGAATACATGACAGAGAAATGTTGAATAAATTGCTGTACCAAACTATTATGGTTTCGTTTGTTGATTTTCAAATTTAAAAGATTTTTTCAACAATATTAAACATCAATAATGCAAGAGCTCTATAGCCAGATGGAGAGGAGTGAATATTTGACCTTTGCATGCTGTCATTGTCCAATGAATTCAATAAATTTCAGTCACATGACTCAAACTATTTTCTCTACAGAATCATCTGAGATTGTTACACGATTTTTTATAAATGAAATACAAAACGACTATCTGGCAAAATGAATGTGTATACTGTATAATGTTAATATTGTCATCACTAACCACACTTTATGAACTCACCTACAGATTCATGCTCCGTGCACGTCCTAGTGACGTCATCAAAACTTGACCACTAATGAACTCACCTACACACCAGGTCTGTGTCCCTGACCAGACGCCTTGCTCCGTGCACGTCCTGTTGACGTCACCAAAAGCTCGCCAGCCATCGTGACATGTGACCTGGACAACTGACCCAAAGGTTGTGGTCTGGTTCAGGTAGGTCGTGTTCCCGTGCTCGACCTCCTGGCCGTGGTAGGTCAGTGTGCCACAGTCAACAACTGGTGGACAATAAACGTGACACAGTCAACAACTGGTGGACAATAAACGTGACACAGTCAACAACTGGTGGACAATAAACGTGACACAGACAACAATAAACGTGACACAGTCAAAAACTGGTGGACAATAAACGTGACACAGTCAACAACTGCTGGACAATAAACGTGACACAGTCAACAAAATGTGACATAGTCAACAACTGGTGGACAATAAACGTGACACAGTCAAAAACTGGTGGACAATAAACGTGACACAGTCAACAGCTGGTGGACAATAGGCGTGACACAGTCAACAAAACGTGACACAGTCAACAACTGGTGGACAATAAACGTGACACAGTCAACAAAACGTGACACAGTCAACAACTGGTGGACATTAAACGTGACAGTCAACAACTGGTGGACAATAAAAGTGACACAGTCAACAACGGGTGTACAATAAACGTGACACAGTCAACAAAACGCGACATAGTCAACAACTGGTGGACATTAAACGTGACACAGTCAACAACTGGTGGACAATAAACGTGACACAGTCAAAAAAACGTGACACAGTCAAGAACTGGTGGAACAAAACGTGACACAGTCAACAACTGGTGGACAATAAACGTGACACAGTCAACAACTGGTGGACAATAAACGTGACACAGTCAACAAAACGTGACACAGTCAACAACTGGTGGAACAAAACGTGACACAGTTAATAAAACGTGCCACAGTCAACAACTGGTGGACAATAATCGTGACACAGTCAACAACTGGTGGACAATAAACGTGACACAGTCAACAACTGGTGGACAATAAACGTGACACAGTCAACAACTGGTGGCAACAAAACGTGACATTTAACAAAACGTGACACAGTCAAAAACTGATGGAACAAATCGTGACACAGTCAACAACTGGTGGACAATAAACGTGACACAGTCAACAACTGGTGGCAACAAAACGTGACAGTCAACAAAACAATGCACAGTCAACAAAACGTGACACTGTCAACAAAACGTGACACTGTCAACAACTGGTGGACAATAAACGTGACACAGTCAACAACTGGTGCACAATAAACGTGACACAGTCAACAACTGGTGGACAATAAACGTGAGACAGTCAACAACTGATTGAAACAAACGTGACACAGTCCACAACTGGTGGTAAAATAAACGTGACACAGTCAACACAACGTGACACAGTCAACAACTGGTGGAAACAAAACGTGACACAGTCAACAAAACGTGACACAGTCAAAAACTGATGGAACAAAACGTGACACAGTCAACAACTGGTGGAACAAAACGTGACACAGTCAACAACTGGTGGAAACAAAACGTGACACAGTCAACAAAACATGACACAGTCAACAAAACGATACACGGTCAACAAAACGTGACACTGTCAACAAAACGTGACACTGTCAACAACTGATGGAAACAAAACGTGACACAGTCAATAAAACGTGACGCTGTCAACAAAACGTGACACAGTCCACAAAACGTGACACTGTCAACAAAACCAGACACAGTCAACAACTGATGAAGATAAAAAAAAGTCAGTACACTGTTACACATTTTAACTTCCTGCTGCAGTTATTCAATAGTAAAATGTGTATAATAATGTTATGTTTTATTACAAAAGTATATGTAGAACTGCTTACTATCATTGTATGTTGAGCATACAGATTTTAGGTAACATGAAGGCAACTGAAGTCTTCAGATGCAACAATGCCCTCCCCTGTAGGCCATACACTCGTATGATACTTCGAGACTACGCCCATTCCCAATAACTATGAACGGTGCATTCAAGAAAGTCAAGAAACCTCACCCTCATCTACCCCCCCCCCCCCACACACACACACCACATTCCATGAATGATGTATCTTTTTACTGAGACAAGTCAAGACACCCCCCCCCATGGAATGATGTCATCAATGATGTGACATGTCGGGACACTACCCTCCCATGTACCATTGGCATGACGTCATCACTTACTGTAACATGTCGGGACACTGCCCTCCCATGTACCATTGGCATGACGTCATCACTTACTGTAACATGTCGGGACACTGCCCTCCCATGTACCATTGGCATGACGTCATCACGTACTGTGACATGTCGGGACACTGCCCTCCCATGTACCGTTGGCATGACGTCATCACTTACTGTGACATGTCTGGACACTACCCTCACCCCCCCCCCCTAGAATGACGTCATCACTTACTGTGACATGTCTGGACACTACCCTCACCCCCCCCCCCCTAGAATGACGTCATCACTTACTGTGACATGTCGGGACACTGCCCTCTACCCCCCCCCCCCAGAATGACGTCATTACTTACTGTGACAAGTCGGGACACTGCCCTCTACCCCCCCCCCAGAATGACGTCATTACTTACTGTGACAAGTCGGGACACTACCCTCCCATGTACCATTGGCATGACGTCATCACTTACTGTGACAGCTCGGGACACTACCCTCCCATGTACCATTGGCATGACGTCATTACTTACTGTGACAAGTCGGGACACTACCCTCCCATGTACCATTGGCAAGACACACAAGTCCCGGGTGTCCGTCTAGACGGTAGCCGGTGTCACAGTTAAAATGGCAGGATGTGTCCGGCTGGTTCCGGCACGGCTGAGCCGTGTCCGGCACTTCATCTCTCACCACATAACCCACGTGAAACTTGAAGCCGTGGGCGATGTCAGGTAGATCTGGACACGTGCGCACTGAAACAAAGCCATTGTTAAATCAAGTGGTAGATAATTGATCGTAAAAATTTGAATATATTGTTTCTACAACTTGTATGTAAGCCTGTAGGCCACCAAACAAAATTAAGTGTTGAGTCTATGTAGCCTACCAGAAACTTACTTTGACAAGGCTGATCTAAATATATTGTTTCTGTAACTTGTATATAACCCTACAGTCTACCAAACACCAACCAAGTGTTGAGTCTATGTTGGTTTCCAGAAACTTACTTTGACAAGGCTGATCTGGCCCCTCTCTGTAAAAAGGAGGTTTACAAACGCATTGACTGATGTCGGTGGCGCCCTCTGCTAGTGTTGTGGAGTCCCCCGGACACTGAAAACACCGTGATGGGGAAATCTTGTTTTTGTAGCTTCCCCTAGGACAAGCTGGAAAAAAATCACAAACTCACACTTTGTTCCGATCCAAATATTTATTCTTTGCGCTGATACGGTCTATTAAAGTCTTATTTTTGGAAGCCATCGGTAGGACTATGTTGAACACATAAGACAGTCAATTGTGCTACTTTCTACACAAGAAATACAACTTAAGTAAATAATTTCCGGGACCAATAATTTACACTACTGATTATACAAGATGGAGGGGACGGAAAGTTTTAAGACCAGAGATTAACACTGAACGATTTTTTTTGTGTTATCACCAAGATTGTGCTATCCAACTCACACTTGAAACACGTATATATTGCACGTGCGATATTTTTATCTGCATTTTTCTGTGTGCAAGTTTTGTTTGCATTTTTACGTTAACACCATGTAAAACCTACCTGTACAGGCCAGCCCGTCTCCATGGAAACCATCCTCACACACACAGAGGTACTGTCCAGATCGAGTCCCACACGCGCAGTATGAGTTGTTCACACACAGTCCCCCACAGAACTGTTTGTCACTCAGGACATGCCAGCTCTCTGTCTGGTTATCTGAGGGGAGATTCGTGACTGGTTATCTGAGGGAGATTAGTGACTGGTTATCTGAGGGGAGATTCGTATCTGGTTATTTGAGGGGAGATTCGTGACTGGTTATCTGAGGGGAGATTCGTGTCTGGTTATCTGATGGGAGATTGTCTGGTTATCTGAGGGGAGATTCGTGTCTGGTTATCTGAGGGGAGATTCGTGTCTGGTTATCTAAGGGGAGATTGTCTGGTTATCTTAGGGAGATTGGTTATCTGAGGGGAGATTTGTGTCTGGTTATCTAAGGGGAGATTCGTGTCTGGTTATCTGATGGGAGATTCGTGTCTGGTTATCTGAGGGGAGATTCGTGTCTGGTTATCTGAGGGGAGATTGTCTGGTTATCTGAGGGGAGATTGTCTGGTTATCTGAGGGGAGATTCGTGACTGGTTATCTGAGGGGAGATTCGTATCTGGTTATCTAAGGGGAGATTCGTGAATGGTTATCTGAGGGAGATTGGTTATCTGAGGGGAGATTCGAATCTGGTTATATGAGGGAGATTGGTTATCTGAGGGGAGATTCGTGACTGGTTATCTGAGGGGAGATTCGTATCTGGTTATCTGAGGGGAGATTCGTATCTGGTTATCTGAGGGGAGATTCATGACTGGTTATCTGAAGGAGATTGGTTATCTGAGGGGAGATTCGTGTCTGGTTATCTGAGGGGATATTCGTGACTGGTTATCTGAAGGAGATTGGTTATCTGATGGGAGATTCGTGTCTGGTTATCTGAGTGGAGATTCGTGTCTGGTTATCTGAGGGGAGATTCGTGACTGGTTATCTGAGGGGAGATTCGTGTTTTTTTATCTGAGGGGAGATTGTCTGGTTATCTGAGGGGATTCGTGACTGGTTATCTGCGGGGATTCGTGACTGGTTATCTAAATGTGATTTTAAGATTTTCACAATGTTGATAAGGTAAAACGCCATTCATTCGTCAGGCTGTTTTAGATAGGACAAAACTCGATGTAGTCGGTCTGTTTTAGTTAACACAAAACTCGATGCATGTCGGTCTGTCTACAAACTATCACAAACATAACTGACCATCATGAAGAGATCTCGCCAGCTCAGCAAACGCTCTGAAATCTGGGATGTAGAAGGTGTGGTTGGAAAGCGGAGAGGCGATGGTTCGAACCTCCGGCATGTAGGCGTCCTTGATGCCGACGGCGTAGACCTGAAGCTGTGGTCCCCCGGCTGTCGTGGCCCAGTCCGTGTCCCACACCAGGGACCGCAGCTGGATCTGATAGGTGGGGATTAAAGTTGGGGATTAGTGGTGGGGATTAACGTTGGGGATTAAAGTTGGGGATTAGTGGTGGGCGTTAAAGTTGGGGATTATTGGTGGGGAGTAAAGTTGGGGATTAAAGTTGGGGATTAGTGGTGGTCGTTAAAGTTGGGGATTAGTGGTGGGGATTAAAGTTGGGGGATTAGTGGTGGGGATTAAAGTTGGGGATTATTGGTGGGGATTAAAGTTGGGGGATTAGTGGTGGGGATTAAAGTTGGGGATTATTGGTGGGGAGTAAAGTTGGGGATTAAAGTTGGGGATTAGTGGTGGTCGTTAAAGTTGGGGATTAGTGGTGGGGATTAAAGTTGGGGGATTAGTGGTGGGGATTAAAGTTGGGGATTATTGGTGGGGATTAAAGTTGGGGATTATTGGTGGGGATTAAAGTTGGGGATTGGTGGTGGGGATTAAAGTTGGTGATTAGTGGTGGACGTTAAAGTTGGGGATTACTGGTGGATGTTAAAGTTGAGGATTAGTATAATCTGGTGGTGGTCGTAAAAGTTTGGGAGTAGTCTGATCTTGTGTACGATGCAAAACATCAAGAACGAGTTATCTTTTTAAAAGTGGTGTTAACCAGTCTTTGTTTCAGGCATGGGGAAGGAAGGGGTGGCACTTACAGAGAAAAATGTCTGGAAGAAACCCAGGTGCTTTGAGCCGAAACACTAAACCAAACGTGTGTTAAGCTAAAGGTGTAGTCCGCTGTACTTGGCTGTGTATCTAGTGTTTTGCTAATTACAACTTTTTAAAAATGTCTTTGACATCTAATGATAAACAAGCTGACACATTTTCTGAGGCTTTCTATCACCAAAATCACAAGAATAAACTGGACACATTTTTTGTTTTAAGGACCATTTCCTTGCTTTTGTCTTAAATAAATCCACACAGTTTTATAATAAGTGGCCCTCTCCATATTTACAACGGCTGGTGGGAAGACCAACTGGGTAATTCAGATTTATGAAAACACATCACATGTGTATTGAATGATGCTGACGTACTAATTGATTCAAAGGCTGCCTTCTTGGAAAAGAGAAAGCGATACCATGGTAGATAAATATAAAAACATGTTGGACATGCTAATGTGACTTACTGAAGCCCAATGTTGGACCTAGTGTTGTAGCTTACAGAGGCTCTGACTGGAGGGGGCCCAATGTTGGACCTAGTGTTGTGACTTACTGAAGCCCTGACTGGAGGGGGCCCAATGTTGGACCTAGTGTTGTAACTTACTGAAGCCCTGACTGGAGGGGGCCCAATGTTGGACCTAGTGTTGTAACTTACAGAAGCCCTGACTGGAGGGGGCCCAATGTTGGACCTAGTGTTGGGACTTACTGAAGCCCTGACTGGAGGGGGCCCAATGTTGGACCTAGTGTTGTAACTTACTGAAGCCCTGACTGGAGGGGGCCCAATGTTGGACCTAGTGTTGTAACTTACAGAAGCCCTGACTGGAGGGGGCCCAATGTTGGACCTAGTGTTGTAACTTACTGAAGCCCTGACTGGAGGGGGCCCAATGTTGGACCTAGTGTTGTAACTTACAGAAGCCCTGACTGGAGGGGGCCCAATGTTGGACCTAGTGTTGGGACTTACTGAAGCCCTGACTGGAGGGGGCCCAATGTTGGACCTAGTGTTGTGACTTACTGAAGCCCTGACTGGAGGGGGCCCAATGTTGGACCTAGTGTTGGGACAGAAGCCCTAACTGGAGGGGGCCCAATGTTGGACCTAGTGTTGGGACTTACTGAAGCCCTGACTGGAGGGGGCCCAATGTTGGACCTAGTATTGGGACAGAAGCCCTAACTGGAGGGGGCCCAATGTTGGACCTAGTATTGGGACAGAAGCCCTAACTGGAGGGGGCCCAATGTTGGACCTAGTATTGGGACAGAAGCCTTAACTGGAGGGGGCCCAATGTTAGACCTAGGGACTTACTGAAGCCCTGACTGGAGGGGGCCCAATGTTGGACCTAGTGTTGGGACTTACTGAAGCCCTGACTAGAGGGGGCCCAATGTTGGACCTAGTGTTGGGACAGAAGCCCTGACTGGAGGGGGCCCAATGTTGGACCTAGTGTTGGGACTTACTGAAGCCCTGACTGGAGGGGGCCCAATGTTGGACCTAGTGTTGTAACTTACAGAAGCCCTGACTGGAGGGGGCCCAATGTTGGACCTACTGTTGGGACTTACTGAAGCCCTGACTAGAGGGCCCCAATGTTGGACCTAGTGATGTAACTTACTGAAGCCCTGACTAGAGGGCGCCCAATGTTGGACCTAGTGTTGGGACTTACTGAAGCCCTGACTGGAGGGGCCCCAATGTTGGACCTAGTGATGTAACTTACTGAAGCTCTGACTGGAGGGCCCCAATGTTGGACCTAGTGTTGGGACAGAAGCCCTGACTGGAGGGGGCCCAATGTTGGACCTAGTGTTGGGACAGAAGCCCTAACTGGAGGGGGCCCAATGTTGGACCTAGTATTGGGACAGAAGCCCTAACTGGAGGGGGCCCAATGTTGGACCTAGTATTGGGACAGAAGCCCTAACTGGAGGGGGCCCAATGTTGGACCTAGTATTGGGACAGAAGCCCTAACTGGAGGGGGCCCAATGTTAGACCTAGGGACTTACTGAAGCCCTGACTGGAGGGGGCCCAATGTTGGACCTAGTGTTGGGACTTACTGAAGCCCTGACTAGAGGGGGCCCAATGTTGGACCTAGTGTAACTTACAGAAGCCCTGACTGGAGGGGGCCCAATGTTGGACCTACTGTTGGGACTTACTGAAGCCCTGACTAGAGGGCCCCAATGTTGGACCTAGTGATGTAACTTACTGAAGCCCTGACTAGAGGGCCCCAATGTTGGACCTAGTGTTGGGACAGAAGCCCTGACTGGAGGGGGCCCAATGTTGGACCTAGTGTTGTAACTTACTGAAGCCCTGACTGGAGGGGGCCCAATGTTGGACCTAGTGTTGGGACAGAAGCCCTGACTGGAGGGGGCCCAATGTTGGACCTAGTGTTGGGACAGAAGCCCTGACTGGAGGGGGCCCAATGTTGGACCTAGTGTTGGGACTTACAGAAGCCTTGACTGGGGGGGGCCCAATGTTGGACCTAATGTTGTAACTTACTGAAGCCTTGACTGGAGGGAGACCAATGTTGGACCTAGTGTTGGGACTTACTGAAGCCCTGACTGGGGGGGGCCCAATGTTGGACCTAATGTTGTAACTTACTGAAGCCTTGACTGGAGTGGGCCCAATGTTGGACCTAGTGTTGTTACTTACTGAAGCCTTGACTGGAGGGGGCCCAATGTTGGACCTAGTGTTGTAACTTACTGAAGCCTTGACTGGAGGGGGCCCAATGTTGGACCTAGTGTTGTTACTTACTGAAGCCTTGACTGGAGGGGGCCCAATGTTGGACCTAGTGTAACTTACAGAAGCCCTGACTGGAGGGGGCCCAATGTTGGACCTACTGTTGGGACTTACTGAAGCCCTGACTAGAGGGCCCCAATGTTGGACCTAGTGATGTAACTTACTGAAGCCCTGACTAGAGGGCCCCAATGTTGGACCTAGTGTTGGGACAGAAGCCCTGACTGGAGGGGGCCCAATGTTGGACCTAGTGTTGTAACTTACTGAAGCCCTGACTGGAGGGGGCCCAATGTTGGACCTAGTGTTGTAACTTACTGAAGCCCTGACTGGAGGGGGCCCAATGTTGGACCTAGTGTTGGGACAGAAGCCCTGACTGGAGGGGGCCCAATGTTGGACCTAGTGTTGGGACAGAAGCCCTGACTGGAGGGGGCCCAATGTTGGACCTAGTGTTGGGACTTACAGAAGCCTTGACTGGGGGGGGCCCAATGTTGGACCTAATGTTGTAACTTACTGAAGCCTTGACTGGAGGGAGCCCAATGTTGGACCTAGTGTTGGGACTTACTGAAGCCCTGACTGGGGGGGGGCCCAATGTTGGACCTAATGTTGTAACTTACTGAAGCCTTGACTGGAGTGGGCCCAATGTTGGACCTAGTGTTGTTACTTACTGAAGCCTTGACTGGAGGGGGCCCAATGTTGGACCTAGTGTTGTAACTTACTGAAGCCTTGACTGGAGGGGGCCCAATGTTGGACCTAGTGTTGTAACTTACTGAAGCCTTGACTGGGGGGGGCCCAATGTTGGACCTAGTGTTGTAACTTACTGAAGCCTTGACTGGGGGGGGGCCCAATGTTGGACCTAATGTTGTAACTTACTGAAGCCTTGACTGGAGGGGGCCCAATGTTGGACCTAGTGTTGTAACTTACTGAAGCCCTGGAGTGGGCCCAATGTTGGACCTAGTGTTGTAACTTACTGAAGCCCTGACTGTAGGGGGCCCAATGTTGGACCTAGTGTTGTAACTTACTGAAGCCCTGACTGTAGGGGGCCCAATGTTGGACCTAGTGTTGTAACTTACTGAAGCCCTGACTGTAGGGGGCCCAATGTTGGACCTAGTGTCGTAACTTACTGAAGCCCTGACTGGAGGGGGCCCAATGTTGGACTTGCCATCAGTTATGACCACCACCGCCTTCTTGGCAGCAGGCCTGGAGTTGACCAGCACGTCTTTGGCTCTCAAGATGGCGGCGTGAGTGGCCGAGTACCCAGCAGGCACCTGGGCAGAGAAGACATTTTGTTGTTGCTGTATAATCTCGTCAATTGGACATTTTGTCGTGCTTGTAGGATATCGTTAGCTGGACATATCCTACTGGCTGCCCATATAAACCTATGAACCTACTGTTTTTCCAAATAAGCTTACCATCCAACTGTTTACCCATATAAAACTATCACCCTACAATTAGCCCATATAAACCTATCACCCTACAATTTTCCCATATAAACCTATCACCCAACAATTTGCCCATATAAACCTATCACCTTACAATTTGCCCATATAAACCTATCACCCAACAATTTGCCCATATAAACCTATCAGCCTACAATTTGCCCATATAAACCTATCAGCCTACAATTTGCCCATATAAACCTATTACCCTACAATTAGCCCATATAAACCTATCACCCTACAATTTTCCCATATAAACCTATCAGCCTACACTTTGCCCATATAAACCTATCACCCTACAATTTTCCCATATAAACCTATCAGCCTACACTTTGCCCATATAAACCTATCACCCTACAATTTTCCCATATAAACCTATCCTCTTACTTTCTTGGCAATCTGGTTCTGTAGCCTGGCGTTGAGCGCACACTTGTTGTAGTCGCCGGTTCGAATCCCGTCCAGGTCAGTGGACGCCGTGGTGCCATAGCTGATGATGGCCACCCTCGTGTTGTCCGCGTCCACCGTAAAATGTTCCAGAAAGGTCTGGACAAACCTCAGGGTGGACTCCCATCCTGACCTTGACACGCTGGCCGAGCGGTCAAGGACGAACACTAGATCAACGGGATTGGTTGTCGCGGTTGATGAGTAATTTGTGTAGAGATCCTGTATGATTTGCCTCCCTTGTTCAATGGTATCCTTGTTTGTCTGTCGTTGCCCAGCAACGAAGACTTGTGCATAGGTACACAGCAAGTATAAAGCCAAATAGAAAGTAAAATGGCCATCAAATAGTTTTATTGGCATTTTCTAATATTTTTAAATTGAAACTTAAAAATGAAGAGCTTAGCATCAAATTCATATTGTTTCACGATTTTTTGCAAAGCGCAAATAAAATAATAGACCGAATATGTCTAAAGCCTATGTATATTTTATTCTTAATGCCTACACGACAATAGTTTTGTATCATTAAATATGTAACATTCGAATAATATCACTTGGTAACGGAAACTGCCAATCGAAGTACCATTATTAAAAACTGAACGTAGTCCTCAATTATTCTGGACAAACCATTGAAGAAATGAAACTAAATTCACAACCCGGATTGTCATTAACATTAAAGATTAGCATCAACCGAAATCCACAACAAAGCGTATCCTACTGTCCCAACGAACTTTGAAATCAGCTGCTCTCTTTGCCCTAACTCGCCATAGCTAATGTGATTAGCACTGCGCATGTCCACAACGAAACCAAAACATCACACAGCGTTGTCTGAGACTTGAGAATTAGATCACACTGTACTACCAGAGCAGACGTTCATCGGTACATCAGACGTCAAGTGTGATGGTACTTAGCGACCTGGTACCGCAGAAGTGAGGGACCTTCTGGAATACGAGAGATCATCTGGTACCGTAAACTTGTGACACCGGGAACATGTAGGGCCTAATTGGGGCAGGGGAGAGGACGGGGATGGGGCAGAGCACAGAGATAAGGGAAGAACAATAGACGGTTTAGGAGATTTTCGTGGCACAAACATGCGTTTTAAAAGTAGAGGCAGGTGCCAGGCTGTCCTTAACAGGATGTTTTGCAGCCACTCCCCCTTTTATCGAATGCCATCATAAAAACCCAAACAATCTTAAAATCACGACTTAACCCCCCCCCCCCCCATGATCTATCTGCAATATAAAAAATAGTAATCAAGTTTCATTGCTAATTTAGTGTGCAATAAATATATTCTAATATATTTTACTTTTTTTTAAAGAAGAAAACAAAAATGTCGCTTGTCAATATTTGTCCATAAATTTTATATATATATATATATATATATATATATATATATATATATATATATATATATATATATATATATATATATATATATATATATATATATTATTAAATTGTCCTAAGTTTAAACAGAAAGTTTTAAAAAGCTGAGCTGTATGGTGAATGTGTTAGTAGTCTTTTATAATTGATGTTTCATGCATCGTGTCCAGCTTTTGTCTGTAATGTGTTGTTTTGTTATGAACCTCTCTGGCGATGGTAGGCTCTCGTTTGTCTGTAATATGTTATTTGCTATAAACCTTTCTAGCGCTGATAAAGTTTCTGTAAAGTGTTAATTGTGATGCCTGCCATTTTTCTTACCAAACAATGCTTGGACGTCACGCCGTGTAATAATAAGCTTTAGAAGAGATTGTTTTTTTTTAAGATGATGTCACACAGGGGCGTGTCTAATTAGTGGAGCATCACGTGAAGCAATGATGTAAGATATCATTGACTCTATGTAAGATTTAATACATTCGATGTAAGATATCATACACTCGATGTAAGATATCATACACTCGATGTAAGATATCATTGACTCGATGTAAGATATCATACACTCGATGTAAGATATCATACACTCGATGTAAGATATCATACACTCGATGTAAGATATCAGACACTCGATGTAAGATAGCATACACTCGATGTAAGATATAATAGACTCGATGTAAGATATCAGACACTCGATGTAAGATATCATAGACTCGATGTAAGATATCATACACTCAATGTAAGATATCAGACACTCGATGTAAGATATCAGACACTCGATGTAAGATATCATAGACTCGATGTAAGATATCATACACTCGATGTAAGATATCAGACACTCGATGTAAGATATCATAGACTCGATATAAGATATCATAGACTCGATATAAGATATCATACACTGGATGTAAGATATCATACACTCGATGTAAGATATCAGACACTCGATGTAAGATAGCATACACTCGATGTAAGATATCATACACTCGATGTAAGATATCATACACTCAATGTAAGATATCAGACACTCGATGTAAGATAGCATACACTCGATGTAAGATATAATAGACTCGATGTAAGATATCAGACACTCGATGTAAGATATCATAGACTCGATGTAAGATATCATACACTCAATGTAAGATATCAGACACTCGATGTAAGATATCAGACACTCGATGTAAGATATCATAGACTCGATGTAAGATATCATACACTCGATGTAAGATATCAGACACTCGATGTAAGATATCATAGACTCGATATAAGATATCATAGACTCGATATAAGATATCATACACTGGATGTAAGATACCATACACGATGTAAGATATCATACACTCGATGTTGACAGGCGCTCAAATGAAATGCGTCTGGTCATTCACACAATTTAACATGGGTTAGCACTGTTTATAAATGTTAATAAACAAATGTATCGTTTCTTAAACTAATTAAAGCTTGAACACATTGTCAACTGTATTCAATGTGGGGTTTATTTCCGATATTTTCCTTGCGGGGGAGGGGGATTTTTTAATCTTCCGAGCGGGGAGAGAAGAACAATGGTTAAATTAGATTTTTATAAACTAGATAAATAGTATTTTTCTAGTCGGCCGGAAGGAGGGGGATACAGTTGCACCCGGTGGGGAAGGGTCACTAGCACCCCTCTCGACCGAGAGATGCCTGAAAGAAACACTGATCCCATATTCCCGTGTAACAGGATAGGCTCTACATCGGGTCGAGGAAATTTTTCATTTGATATGCATGACCATAGAATTGCTTCACACTTATTGTCATAGCTGAAGAGTTGGGGTGGGGCAGTGGGACGCTCAGTACCCTACAGGGCGTCAACAAAACTAATACACAGTAAAAGAGAAATTAAAATGTAGTTTTTAAAATGTATTTGTATGAAGAAAGTTGTGGAGGGGTATTACAATGTTTATTTCGTATTTAAACTCACACACGGAAACATTTAAAATACTTTCTTTTCAAGTGGGTATTTAATCGTGTTGAATTTCATACATTGTTAAGGTTTTTACATTAAAAACTGTGTAGCATCAACCAAAGATCTATACGCTTTCAGTTTAATTGAAAGTGTAAGTTGTTTGGTTACCGCTGTTTTTCAGATGAGTACTAGAATTACACGAGCGGATAATGTAAAGGAAAAGTACTTAAATGTTAAACACGTCAAATTAGTTATTCATCACTAACGTTAATGAAGTCAAGTCATAAGACTATATAAAACAATTCACAAAGTTGTTTCTTGTTTCAAATTGTTGTTATTACGTGTTATTATTTACATTTTTAATAACCATCAGAGTCTCAATGACGACTACAAAAACAGCGCAGTTCCAACAACTAGAATTATGGTGTAGGCGTTTAATTGGTCTGAGAGTAATTAATTAGATTAAATTCCCAGTAAGAGTCCGTTTATCTCTGAGTCTGATAGACTCGCTTATTGTTGCTGTCTGGTGAAGCTCAAACTATACAGCTAGAAGTGGAAAGGGAATCTCAAACTATACAGCTAGAAGTGGGAACAGAGAATCTCAAACTATACAGCTAGAAGTGGGAACAGAGAATCTCAAACTATACAGCTAGAAGTGGACTCAGAGAATCTCAAACTATACAGCTAGAAGTGGACTCAGAGAATCTCAAACTATACAGCTAGAAGTGGACACAGGGAATCTCAAACTACACAGCTAGAAGTGGACTCAGAGAATCTCAAACTATACAGCTAGAAGTGGACTCAGAGAATCTCAAACTATACAGCTAGAAGTGGACACAGGGAATCTCAAACTACACAGCTAGAAGTGGACGCAGGGAATCTCAAACTATACAGCTAGAAGTGGACTCAGAGAATCTCAAACTATACAGCTAGAAGTGGACACAGGGAATCTCAAACTACACAGCTAGAAGTGGACTCAGAGAATCTCAAACTATACAGCTAGAAGTGGACACAGGGAATCTCAAACTATACAGCTAGAAGTGGGAACAGAGAATCTCAAACTATACAGCTAGAAGTGGACACAGGGAATCTCAAATTATACAGCTATAAGTGGGAACAGAGAATCTCAAACTATACAGCTATAAGTGGGAACAGAGAATCTCAAACTATACAGCTAGAAGTGGGAACAGAGAATCTCAAACTATACAGCTAGAAGTGGGAACAGAGAATCTCAAACTATACAGCTAGAAGTGGACGCAGGGAATCTCAAACTATACAGCTAGAAGTGGACACAGGGAATCTCAAACTATACAGCTAGAAGTGACACAGTGAATCTCAAACTATACAGCTAGAAGTGGGAACAGGGAATCTCAAACTACACAGCTAGAAGTGGACACAGGGAATCTCAAACTATACAGCTAGAAGTGGGAACAGGGAATCTCAAACTACACAGCTAGAAGTGGGAACAGGGAATCTCAAACTACACAGCTAGAAGTGGGAACAGGGAATCTCAAACTATACAGCTAGAAGTGGACACAAGGAATCTCAAACTATACAGCTAGAAGTGGACACAGGGAAGCTCAAACTATACAGCTAGAAGTGGACACAGGGAATCTCAAACTATACAGCTAGAAGTGACACAGTGAATCTCAAACTATACAGCTAGAAGTGGGAACAGGGAATCTCAAACTACACAGCTAGAAGTGGGAACAGGGAATCTCAAACTATACAGCTAGAAGTGACACAGTGAATCTCAAACTATACAGCTAGAAGTGGGAACAGGGAATCTCAAACTACACAGCTAGAAGTGGACACAGGGAATCTCAAACTATACAGCTAGAAGTGGACACAGGGAATCTCAAACTATACAGCTAGAAGTGGACTCATGGAATCTCAAACTATACAGCTAGAAGTGGACACAGGGAATCTCAAACTACACAGCTAGAAGTGGACTCAGAGAATCTCAAACTATACAGCTAGAAGTGGACACAGGGAATCTCAAACTACACAGCTAGAAGTGGACACAGGGAATCTCAAACTATACAGCTAGAAGTGGACTCAGAGAATCTCAAACTATACAGCTAGAAGTGGACACAGGGAAGCTCAAACTACACAGCTAGAAGTGGACACATTGAATCTCAAACTATACAGCTAGAAGTGGACAGGGAATCTCAAACTACACAGCTAGAAGTGGACAGGGAATCTCAAACTATACAGCTAGAAGTGGACACATTGAATCTCAAACTACACAGGCCTGTAGACAACTCAAATTATACAGCTAGCAATAGACACAGAGAATCGCTAGCTATACAGCCGGAAATGGACGGAAGGAATCTCAACGTAATCTATTTGCTAGTCCTTTTGTTAATCTCCCTCTATTCCACTTTGTGACACGCCATTCTCAATTTAAAAAAAAAATCTATCCTATCATATTCATTCAAATGTTCACCTAGAAAACAGACAGGGTAAACACCAACAGTAATACAACTGTGTGTATACAATATTATGTTAGTTTACATCGCTCACTAGGTCTCCGGGGAAATAGATCGCTCCCTTATCAATATCCAGGTCTGCATGGGAACAGTAGCGTACGCAGGGGGGGAGCAGGGGGAGCGGCCGCTCCCCCTCTGG